AATATGAATCGTCGACTCTCATAATTTAGAAATTTTACGAACGGGTGTTGTCGCTTTTTTAATCGACGATAATTGCGATTATTATCATCGATTCAATTGCTGTTACCGGTTTTTCTTAGAAAATCTAGTTCAATAAGCGTTTTTCTTCGGCTAAGCAGGAGACAGCACACAAATACAAGATTTAAAACAAGAAAATAATAATAGTTGATGAACACAGAATTAAAAAAATAAAATAAAATCAATGATTTAATTAAAATAATTTTGTGTCAACGGACTATAGAAAGAGAGAAAAAGTAAAACAAGTGTATAACAAATAAAATAAAATTTATTAAGTTAATTATTTATATGTATATATAGTATACATTCATGTATGTATGTATAAATATATATAAATAAAAATCTCAAACAATTAAATATGCAACATTAGTTTGTAGAAAATAAAATATTCTTTTTCCTAAATAAATTTTTGTTAATAGAGAAGATTTTAAATACCATTAAATAAAAAATTCAATCAATTGTATAAATATTTTATTAAATACGTTTAATTATAAACATCGGATTGTTAATTGTTTATTGTTTGTTGTTTGAATAATTTTTAGAATTTTTTAGTTATTATAATTATAAAATATTTATTAATAAAATAACACAATTGATCTTGAATAAATCACATTTAATAAAATATTTTCCTATAATAATGTGGTGATTTCTGTCTCTTCCAAAAGATTGATATATTTTAATTGTAAAATGATTAAAAAATGTTTGAAAAAAAATGAGAGATTAAGTATATGTTAATACACAATTTAGGTGAAATCGTTAAAATTATAGTATTAAAAAGAATTTTTCTAACATTTTTATTTATTATAAAATATCATTTATCCATGGAATTCATTTTCCATTTTTTAAGGTGATTTTTTAAAAGCAATTCAATTGAAGTGCGCTCGATCTGTCTTCCGAAAATGAATCATTAAAATATAAATAAATATTCAACTAATGATGAGATTTAAACAAAAAAAAACAAATAAAATCATCAAAAATGAATGAATTCAGCAAAAATAAAAAATATTTTACCATTTTTTCATGTATTTATTAAAAGATAAAATACATGACTGTAATAAAGTGGAAGTGGGAAATGAATAATTAAATATTAAAAATAAGTATGAAGATAAAGGAAGACAGAATTTGTGCACTCCCACGAAATGCCATGCCGATGTACTGTGCAACTTTTGACTCGCATTAAAATAAACATAAGCATACTTGCATTTTTGGCCCTACGAATGAAAATAACGTGGGATTTCAATTTCTACTGAAAAAACATGAAATAAAAATTAATTTGATGATAAAAGCCGGCTCTTGGTTTTTAACTCATAAGTAATATAAACATGTGCAAATGTTACTATTTCCAATGTCGCGTGTGGATTTATCTAAAATATCGTCGAAAATGTGAATAAATGAAAACTAATGATGATCAATACAAAAAAATAAATGAGTAAATAGATAAGAAAAAGTAAAATAATTTTAAATCATTTCAATAGTCAAAATTGAAATGGACGACAAATTGATAAAAAAATTAAGAAAAACTTTAAATTATATCGAGGCTATAAATTAAATCGTTGCGAATTCTTAAGCGATTGGTGGACGTAAATGCAAATAATTTTAGTAATTAATAATACTAATAACACCCCCTTACCAATAATAATTATAATAAAAAGAAAAAAAAATGAATTAATTATTTAATTAAAATAAATAATAAATAAATGAAACAAATTACCGCCGACAACGTTTCATGATTTTATGATTATCACGTAATGTTTGGTAAAAAAGAATAAAATATTAACAAGAGGGTCACACGAAAATATTAAAAAAAAAGAAAAAAATAACAAAAAACAAAACGTGATGGTATATAAGAGATATGTAATCATTTGTAAGAATTGACGAAGTGTACGAGTAATATTGAGAGTAAAAATAAATAAATGAATAATAAAAAATAATGAAAACATGATGAATAAAAAAAAACGTTAGTTCCGTTTTTGAGTGTTGAGAAAGAAACAAAATATTCATTTGTAATTGTTTAAATCTAATAAGAAATGTAATGTAAAACCTAGATGAGTCCAAAACTCACTGTATAGGCACTAAAAATATATCATTTGTTGACATGAAATACGCTGATTTCATTTACTTGATCATTTATTTCCCACAGCCCACGTCATTAAGCTGATGAAAAATCATCATTCATACTATTTATTGATGTATAAACTGCTTTTATATATCTGTTTATTCATTTATTGTTATTTTCCAAATCTTTAGATAATTCATTATAACTAGTGGTGAATAATGTGATACAAAATTACAGGTTAAAAATATTTTATCGTTTTTACTATTATATAAGTCATTCAAGCTTTTGAATATACTAAGGAAAAAATTACCTGTAACAAGTAAATACTGCTTTGATCAATTTCAGTAATATTTCAAATACTCATAATAACACTTGAGTTGTTTAAAATTCGATAGTTTGTAAAAAAACATCATAAATATTAGTATTGTATACAAACTGTGGTATATTGCATAAAAATATACAATTTACCCTAAAAGATGGTATAATTTACCCTTCCACCAGTGGTGTACTATGATTACATTGCACGGCAGGGTAATTTTTACTCAATCTTTCTTTCTGTGCATTCTTAAAAATAGTATTAAATTTCTTCGAAAATGAATTAGTGAGAATGGCTTAATTTTACTGCCGAACACTTAATATTCGCTAATTCATTCACTGTAAATTTAAGTGTTTTATTTTAAAACATTAAAAGTGTTTTAAATATGACGTCATCCATTTGATTAATATTGTCTCGATTTTAAAACACTTAAGGCGCCTCGAACGGAAAAATATATACGTATATATTTTTTATATATATTTATACGTATCCTCGAACGGAAAAATATATATGTATATTTTTTTTTAATTTGACTATATAAATTACAATCTGTTAATGTCTAACAATAAGTAATTGGTATGACTTTTGTACTATTTTAAGGAGGTCATCCATTGAGTTACTCCTTGTTTTTTAACGGAAAAATATAGATATGTAAAAGTATATGGACTTTTGCACAGTAATTTTAGGCAAATAAATAAATTAAATAAGAAATACTGACAGAAAAAGATTCATGCAACAACGATCTATGGAATGAAACGAGTTAAGGATGATTGGTTGAAGAATAAGCAAAATATCCGAAATTAAAAGTCTAAAGCGATTTGACAGATTGTTTTTCATATTTCTAAGTCACTTACTCGTTTACATCTGTTCGACCAAAATCTATCAAATCGCTTTAGACTTTTAATTTTGGATACAGTAGAACCCCTCATCTGATTCTCTCTCTACTGTGGCACTCTCTCATCTGTTAACAGGATAATCCCTCATCTGTTAATCCTTATTTCTCCCTCTTAAATTTTTCTTTCGCCAATCAAATTTTTTATTCGTGGCGCGCAACTTTAATTTAATTAAAATGCGATATCGAGGTTAGCTTTACGATCTGGATCCTTTTTATAATTGATTATTCTGCGTATGTTGATGCGCATAGGAGAAAAGGAGCATACTGAAAAGTGGGGATACGGAGAAATGTTAACAGCAGAGAAAGGTCCTGGCCCGAATGGTTAACAGATGAGGAGTTCTACTGTATTTTGCTTATTCTTCATCCAATCATCCTTATCTCGTTTCATTCCATATATCGTTCTTGCACGAATCTTTTCCTAACAGTATTTTCTTATTTAATTTATTTATTTGCCAGAAATTACTGTGCAAAAGTCCATATTCTTTTATATATCTATATTTTTCCGTTCGAGGCGCCTTAAGTCTTTTAAAATCGAGACAATATTAATCAAATGGGCAACGTCATATTTAAAACACTTTTAATTTTTTAAAATAAAACACTTAAATTTACAGTGTTCTTAGAGAAATCTAGTAAATAAAGAAAATTCATTCAATCGAATTAGTAATTGAATAGAGAAATGTTAAACTTTGCCGTTTCACTTAGTAAAAATTCTACGCCTACAGGCCAAAATTTACCGGTCTGTCTAATGCATTACAGTTACTCTGAATTAGAGGGTGTAAGTCATCAGATTATAATAAATATTAATTCGGAGATTTCTTATTATTATTTACTACTAAAGTATTTTCAATTTTTACAAAAAATGCTATTTCAAAATAAATCAGTAATTATTGAGAGTGTATTCTTTGTATAAAAGTAATTTTTTCTCCTAGTACATAATAGTCATTCAATTATCACAATTTTGTTATTCTATTTGCTTCAATTTCTCACACAAGCAGGTACTTTGCATTAATTCTCTAGACCTTGTACATGATTTTTTTTGTTATATTAAGGCAACATGATTCTCAATTAATTAAATAATCAATCAGAGAGTTCATGAATCTCATATGATGGTTAAATTAAAATGATTAAATAGTTTCAAAAATGTATGTATGTATGTATATTAGTTAGATAGAAATCGTAATTTACACTTCGATACAGAAATAAAAAATTATTTATAGGTCATTGAAATAGTACAAATGGAAATATTGTCGACAACTCTTACCCACATTTAACTGTTAAAATTCGACATGCGTGACCATTGAAGCGTTCGCGATAACTGTGCGGATGTACTTTTATCAATTAAGAGAAAAAATTTTTTTTTCAATAAACAAAAAACAATATTTATATATAAATAATAAATATATATAAAAAAAAGGAATAATTTTTGTTTGACTTCAAAAAGAATCTGAAGCTCAGATTACTAAATATTTTTTAATTAAAATAATTAACACGTAAAAATTTAGTTCATTTAAAAAAATACATCCTGAAATATTTGTAGATGCAAACATTAGAATTAAGCCATATTTGTTCATTCGATTCCATCAAATATAAATATTTATTAAATTACTTATAAATTTTATATTTTAATAACTGACGCTTTTCTCCTAATTCTCTTTGAACTATTTCCAATTTCATTATCACGCGACTCCATAAAATTATAACAGAAGTTTATAATTAATATTAATCTTATAAAAGTAACGACCACTAATTTAATTTGTGGTTCAACTCTAGTCTTTATAAAAGCTTTTGCTTGTCGAAAAAAAAAGAAAGAAAAAGAAATAATATTCCAATGGCTGTCGAGAGGCTCTCTACAAATTTCTTTTGATATATTATTGTATATTAAATTTAACGATGAGAATAAAATGTAACCCAATCCATTCGAATTTAATCGAAAACATTTTTATCTTCATTTATTTTTTATTTTGGTGTAGATGCTGATGTGTCGAAGCCACTGTCTGCAATCATCTTTTGCTCACTTGGTAGAGGGGATGAACCATCCTTTTTCTTCTTCTCTTCATTTTCATTATCATCACAAATCTTTGACGTGTGTCCGATGATCCTCATCAAACCTTTATAATTAATTGGCTATTTAATTAATCCTCTCATATTAGTCTACTTAAAAAAATAATCTATCCTTTATAAGGAAAATTGAGTAGATGGAAAAAAAAATTTACCATTAAATAAATAATCATTAAGTTAATAGAATCACTTGATTTTTAGCTCAATTTTTGATTTAATTGACAGTCTATTTAAAATTGAAATCAAAAAAATATTCATCTCAATATGAAAAAAAATTTTTTTTTTTAAGTTGATGTCAATTAAGCACATTTTTTCTAAGTTATGAATTTTAATAAAAAAAAAAAATTTCTCACCTATCGTTTCTCCATTGGCGATAACTCCTGCTCGTACCAGTATGAGTTGCATAGCAAAAAAAAAATAATGTCTTGTTAGTCACGCCCGACTACTTGAGATCGTTTTATTAGACCCATCGATAAAAAAATAAATCCTTACGAGGTAGATCGAGACGAAGGAGCTCACTTACCCAAATACATGAATATCCCGTGTCTCTCTCTCAGACGCGGTCAATCGATTCGGGTAAAGTGGAGCGTTGGGAACTTGAGAGCTACAGCCCAAGGGGAGAAAAGACTAGAGAAAAACTTATGAAACGACAACTTACACTCACCGTTGCCACGGTACTTGCTGAGCTGTTGATAAACCTGCTTCATCCTCTCGATGTTTATTCTTGAGCTTTTACTATGGTTTACCATCGGCAATGAGTAGTCACGTCCGATGATACATTTTGCTGAACGTTGAATGCCCAGAGGCGCCACCCATGGCTCGTGTATGTATCGAGTTGGAAAGTTCTTCAACACTGGTAGGTATCGTCTGCAGATGACAGATATTCATAATCATTCTAACACAAGTAATGTTTTGTCTATTAATCAATCCTTTTAGTTTCTAAAACAATTATTTAATTAAATTAATTATTAACTGATGACTAACTAATTTACATTCATAAAAAATCAACAAAAGTTTACTGATAACATACAAAATATGAAAATTATTAAATATTTAATCTCTGTATTTATTAATAAAATAAACAAAAATGATGTATAATTAATAAAGGCTAGAGTAAAAATTGTTTGTTTATTTGGCATGAATATTTCTCAATTTGAATAAAAATTTCATTTAATAACTAACCATTTATTTACTCTTAATTGCTGTAAATTTATTCAACCATTATCTATGATAATTTAATGGTACTTTTTTTTATCTCATAAATTTATTGGACACATAAAGTTTTTATTGTTTCTGTTTTATTTCATTTTTTTCATTTATTTTAACCATTTATTACCCAGTTATATGCATAGAATATACCATGTGTTTATTTAATTTACAAATGAATCAATTAATACCTGATGTAATCGCCATTCGGATCAGCTTTTCTTCCAAAACGAACTGGACAATAGCAGTGGAAGAATTGTTGAAAAAATGAACTACATGACAGCCACATCCACATACCAGCATTGACAGACCAGTCAGCATCAAGTAGAAGTTCATCAAATACCTTATGAAATATTTAAAACAACACAAAATGTGTTTTAATAGTTGTTGATTTTTATTATCTCTTAATTTTTTGTCACCCTATTATTCATTCCCTAGTCTTGTATCAACTGTCCAGAAATGTAGTGATATTTCTACCTTCATTCCTTCTTCCCATGAAATCCAAAGATCACCCCTCGTTAAAAAGCAAGCTACTGCATGACGAGCTAAATGATGAATCCAACCCTCCTCACGTAACTGGGTCATTATTGCGTCAATCCATGGAAATCCAGTTTGACCCTGATACAATCGAACGAATTAAACAAATAATTTAAAATTAATTCAAAGAATAGTAACTTTATGAACTGTATTGTTATTTATAATTTATTTGCTAATTTAACTCATTTCTGGAGCTTCATAAAAAAAGTCAAGTAATAAACTTTTCATTCTAATAAGTTGGGCTACAAATCAGAAGAAGTTATCATGTTACAACGAATTCAATATTGGATATAGATTTTAGCACCTTTTTAGCCAGAATTATTTGCCGAAACATGAAGTGTTTAGCAACCCTAGTAACATGATTAATGTGCTGCTGATGATTTTTCTCGAACCTAGCTATAATCTCGTAATAGTCTATCACCTAATTATACATTATATTATATCTAAATATGCTTAGCTAATAGATTACAATTCTTGAATTTTACAATAGTCATCCTAAACCCTGGTTTTATCATAAAGGTCTTAGAAGAGAAATAATTGTGACCGTCAATAGATGCAGGACTAACCACTATAATCTTGCCGAATCTTTGAAACAGGTAGGAATACTAGAAAATGATTGCTGCAAGAGTGCAGAGAGTCTTAACCACATTTTGTGGCAATGTAAGTTATATGCTAAAGAGCGTGTATCACTTCTAAAAAATTAAAATAAACTTAAAGTGTCGAGCCAACTAAACGCTCAACTTTTGTTAAAGGCACCCAACATTTTTGCTTGTGTAAACATGGTTAAATTCCTTAATGATTGTAAAATTTGTTTGTAACTACTGATATATTTGTTAATTGGTCTAATTATAATATGTTTATATTTAAGTTAATGGTTTAATATAGAAATGTATATACTTGTTAATATTGTACAGCTAAAATAAACCTATTGGGTTTAAGGAGCTTTAATAAAAAAATAGATTACAATGTGTAGAAAATTTACAAGTTTCAAGACTCCTACTTGTGGAAGTTAAACGTATTTAAAAAGTGCTGAAGCAAAACGAAGAACGTCACATTTAATGATAAATTAAACTAAGAATGATATTTTATTAGTATTGAACAGCAAGTATGGAAACAGTAATAATTATATTGAAGACTATAATTCAAAAATAACTGTACATGCTCCAAATTAAGATCTTTTATTATGCAGAGAGGTATAAAGATTTTCCTATAGTCATACAAATTTTAATAATTGATTTTTTGTTATTTAACGACTTTAATAAGTCTTCTATTTTCTGAATATAATATTAGCAAGCTTAAACGTTTGATAGTGCAAAATAATTCGCAAGTAAAAAAATAATAAAAAGGCTACAAAGACTAAAGATTGTTTTTACTCACGTTTGCCCACTTAGCTAAAGCTTCACCATTTTTATCCCAAGGAATCTGCAGACAGATCGGATTACCTTGCATTCGATCAAAATTAGGGTTTTTCGTTGCAGCACAGTAAAAAAATTCTCGCCAAAGTAATTGGCCATGAAGAGAGAGTGGTGGTGTAGCTTTTTTGATCTACAGAAAATATGTTAATGTTAAAAATAATAATAAATTAATTTCTGTACAGTATGAAAATATTGTTTGATAATAATTAATGCAATAATATTAGAGAACACCTTCTTATATAGATCACGAAGTTGGTAGTAGAAAAGACGTGTGCTAAGACAACCAAAACGAAGGTAAGGCGAAAGACTTGTTTGACTTGGTAAAAGGGATTGCGGAGTCATTTTGGGTCGACCAAAGCTTGCAACCCATGCTTTACGTCCTAAATGGCGTTCCAGTCGTGCTAAAGCTTCACTTTCACCTCCAACCCAGACAGACGGTTGAAGTCCCTCCGTGTCAAAGCCTAAAAAATCCATTAACCAGCCGTATTCGATTTTTTTGCCAAGAGGTTGATATTTTTAATTGAATCATTTTTCAATAACCCACTTGAAAAATTGAAAATTGATAATAATTTTAAAAAATATATTTGTTCGAGTGATATCTTAATGGTTTTCAACAATAAAATCATCCAAATATAAAATTGGAAAATTTTACCTTAATGGGAACGATGAAGATATTTCACACATTAGTAAAAAATTAATAGCAGCGTCCACAATATGTTGAACATAGTGCATTAAATTGAGTCCACTTAAGAAAACTCTTACCAAGTTCCTCGAGCGTAGGTACACCATAAAGATCATCATGATCATCCCTTAAAGGAGTATAAGCATTGCCGATGCATTCAGCTGTTACTGTGGAAACTGGAAGATCAGGTGGGTCCATTCCAGCAATAATGTTTTGAAATTGGTGGTATGTTAAAGGTGGTTTGCCTCCATTTCTATCGAGAATTCTGTAAACAGTAAATTTTTGTAGGCTTTTTATTGGAACGCTTCGAATAATAAAGTCTCTAACAGCCGGAATAAATCCTTCTATAGGAATAAATTGATGTAAAATTCTGGGCAATTGAAAATAGAACTACATTTTTTTTCTAACATTTTCAAATAATCAATTGATAGTTGATGTAACTTGAAAAAAAATTTTTAACTTTCCATTAGAAAGTTGTTGCAATTGGATCAATATCTAAAATGTCAAATTGTTAATGATTGTAAACATTTAAAAATGGTTTTTTTATATCAACTTTAAAAGTTATTGAATTGGTCTAATTTTTTAAATTGAACATTTTGATATATCTCTACAAAGGTACGTATACAGAATCCATTTATTTACAAAAGACTTCTAGGATGGATGCACCACTTGTGTATACTGCAAATCCGAAAAATTCAAGTGTTTAGTTATAAAACATTTAAAGTATTTAACAATGAAATACTCTAATGTTTACAACGTTAAACACCATAAACAAACTATAGCATTTTGGTAAACGACAAAAAGTGTTTTAAGTGCATGTAAAAAATTACTATAGTTTGTTTATGACGTTTAACATTGTAAACACTTAAAGTTTTAAACATTTGGATTTGCGGTGAACGTACGGATGAATTCATTACCTTTTTGGGTAGCATTCCGATTAGGGGATGCCTCCACTTTTAAATTTAACCCTAGACTGGCCACCCTATGAGGGTATTCCCGTAATCTATATTTTATATTTTAAAGACAAACTATCTATCCAAATGCTTTGAAAAAATTTGACTTTTTTCTTACGACGTTTTGAAAAAGACTGACGTATTTGAAAAATTTATTGAAGGTAGTAGCTATTATTGAAAAAATAATTTATAAACGTATTGTCAATCCGTATCTATGTTAAAACGAGCAGCTTGTTGCGTGCAACGTTGCCAATGCTTGAATTTCCACTACTCTTGTCGCATAAGCCAATAGAATTTATTCTGAACTATGTAGCAACATCGCTGGAAAAATAACATTGCGAGGTATTTTTATACAGGTGACCAGAACTGCAATATTTCATTATGTGACTAGACCAGGGTTAAATACGTATAGACTACTTCACGACTAATTCAGGACGATTCTTAGCAAAAAATATATTCTGTCGAGACCAGGAGTTGAACCTGGACCTTCCAGTTACATGCTGGTTGTTCTACCGGTTAAGCTATTTCATCAGTCAATATATTCGCTTCAAATCGTACCTGTCCTCATCAAACGTGACCTCCTCCTTGTTCTACGCTGTCCCTCATACGGCTTAAATAAATTTATTCACTATTTAAGTGTATCTCAGCACGAATAATTTATTTACGGAAGTGTCCCCTAATCGGAACTCGAGAAAATCGGGAATAGGTGAGATTTTATTAAGTTAATATCTTTTTTTAGTAAATATGTCGACAATATCCCCAGCTCTATCTGCAAATTTAGCGATTTATCAAATTTACTTAAATTTGAAGCCGGTGGAGTTCTCGTCGGACCACGGTGAGTACACGTAGAGAAATGTATAGTAAAAATGACCCTGAATTTTATGGTAATTTGGTGACACTGTAGTAGGGAAGGGAGTAAAAATTATTATGCAGTTTAGTAATTTTTACCCTCACACTGCAATGCCATTAAATGTCATGGAAGAAAATAGAAATTACAGTACTGCGATAGTTTAAGTGGTAAAGCCCCTAACGCGCAACTTAGGGGATCCAGATTCGAGTCCTGGTTGCAGGAAAATATTCCTTTTTTCCGAAAAAAACGTGCCTATACAAAATTGTGTAGACTAGCAGGGCGGAGGGAGGGGGTTTGCATATTTATTTATTTTTTTGACACTATTTTTAATCATCGTTTTTCAACCATCATGATTACACAAGATGGCGGATTAAGTAAAAAATATCCTTCACTTTAAGGCTACTCAGGTACGCTACACAGGCAGAGTAAAGTTCATTCTATACAATAGTAAATTTTACACTACAAGATGGTAAAATGTTTCCCTCTGTTTTCACAAATAAATGTATTCTTCATAAATTTGTATTTGTTATTGAATTAAAAGCTGTTTTCAACACAGTAGCTTAAACAAATTTGTTAAAAAGAATTTTATTTTATCGAAGTACGTCAAAATCATGTTTAAATGTTGCTGTGGCTTAATAAACATTTTATGAGCAAAATAAAAGAAAAATACTGTGTATCTAGAATAAGTTTAGTTGTACACGAAGAGAATGATTGAGCTAAAATTACCCTGTCGTACAAGATAATTATGTTACATGGTACCGAAATAGTAAAATTTACCATGAAAGATAGCATAATTTACTTGGCATATTGTATCACTTTCTATCTTGCAGAGTAAATTTGACTACTTTGACGCAGTGTACCATGATGATACTGCATTCCAGGGTGACTTTTACTTAATCTTTCTCCCTATATCATTGACCAATCATATTCTTTTTTGATTGTTCCACACCAAAATGAATAAATCTTCAAATAAATAATATTGTTTTCGTTGGATTTCTGATACTGATGAATTATGGCTTTGTTATTTAAAAAACATCTCCATTGACATTTGAAAGATATAACACAGTTATTATAGTATGTGTCTATTGACAAAAAATATTTTTGTATTTCTAGTACGGTTGTAGGAAATGTCATTCGTTATCTACTCGAGTACACTGCATAAATTTTCAACAAAAAGTCTACGAGCAGTGTGCATACGTACATATTCTATTTTTCCTTGTTCTACTGTAGCATTCTCTTATCAGTCGGTCTTTCTTCCTATCACGTTTTAAGAGTGTAAGTTGAAATGCTACTCTCGTAAACTTCGCGTTTCATTCTCACGCACGGTTTGATACTTCGTTATAATTCGAGCCTCTTCATCCGCATTTCTCTAGGGAATCTCTTAATCTCCTTGATGTTTCAGGTGCGCAATTGTCGATTTCATTTCTTTTTTACACATACAATTATATTCACCTACATGTAATACTATTCTCTTTAAATCTAAAGTACTTTTTTGATTAATTTCAAGATTGTTACAAGTCATAATTACTAAAATAACCAATTTTACACAAACTCTTTTTTGTAGAAATCTACATGCAGAAAATGATGGATTAAAAATTATCTGACAAAAACAAGCCAACTTTACTCTGCAGCTGAATAACTTTAGATTACAAGGACTTAAGCATAGATTTAACATACAAATATTTTTATCTCTTGCAGTGAAATATATTTTGGTTAAAAAATTTAGATTTAAAAATTAATACTATGATTATTATATAAAATAGGAGGACTGTATAATAAAGAGAAAATGAATTTTGGTAAAGTAATTTATTAATTTTAAAAAATAGTAATAGAAAAAGATATGTATATATCGTTTTACACTATGAATGGAGACTGGAATTTTCTCAAAAACTACTGGAACTTACACGGAGCGAAAATTCTTAGAATTTTTATTTCGATTTTCTCAGAAAAATTCCCGTGCTCTCTGGTAATCTGGGTGCAACTTATCGGCTGAGTAAAAAATATCAAACGCAGTAGAAAAATTCCTATGCCAATAAAGTAAAAATTACCATGCCAGTCTAGAAAAATTTTTTAATAATAATTTTTAATTATTTAATTTATAATTTGTAATTATTTGCCTATAAATACAATCATTTTTTGTGGTTTAAACGCATACATATTACATACAATAACTTTGTATAAATGTAATTAATATTATTATTGTGTCAAAAGAGATGAATCAATGATAAAATTAGTGTTTACATTTATGAAGAATGCTGACAATTCTTATAGATGAAATGATGACGTTAAATAAACCAGTCACTACGTTGTAGCAATTAGAATGGAACGTTGTAGAACTTAGCACCGTATAACTTAGTACAACCACTTATTCTGAAGGTTAAATAATTTTACTGTCGCGTACTTCGTAAACGAAATCTTATTTCTCTCTGTCCTAACTCGTCTCGAAAAAAAGCGGAAATGCACGAATGTTGCCCAGCTCTTTTTTTTGTGTTTATTTACATAGGACCGAGCACATACCTGATACATGTGGCGGCCAATTACCAAAGTGCAGAGGAAAAATTCCCATGCCACATTATAAAATATATTAAATTTCAAGTAATTTTTATTCTATTCATATCCCATTAGAAAAAGTTTAAGAATCTCTTACAGACGAGGATGCTATGAAATTTTTCCTATGCTGTGTTACAATTTTTCTTATGCTCTTTTACAATTTGTCCTACGCTTTCTCATATAAACTCAAACGCTTCTATTAAAAATTACTATTTGTCAATAAAGTTTTTCCTAATTTGTTTTAGAAAAATTTCGTTTCTCGTCAGTTGCACTCGTTTTATAGTCACGAGCATGAAAATTTTTCTATGAAATTTTTCTCCGTGTAACAGACTGATTCTGAATGTTCCACTTCCTTTTACGGAAGGACCTTACGGTTTTGTCTGCACTGTAAATCGTAGTTGTTCATTTCGATACACTTAAAGTGTTTCCAAATTACGTCATCCATTTCATTAACATTGTAGTCACTTTTAATCCACTTAAAAATGTTTAAAAACTGAAGTTCTTAAAGGAAGAATAAAAAGGAACTAATAATTATTTTAATCCTTTTTTGATTCTGAATGACATGCATCCAACACTGCAATTATTTCTGTTTTTTTTTACTATATATATATATATATATATATATATATATATATATATATATTGTGCAGAATACTAAACAAGATTGAGGTAGTGCACACTAGGTAGCAATACGGTAGCTACTGTACGGTAGCTCGTATCCAATAACTGTACAACATACTTGCGTTAATTGCATAATTGCAGTATTTTTTATAGTTTTAGTGAACCATAACAATAGAAATACTCCTTAAGAGATTGTCAATATAAACATATCCGGTATACTAAGATATGCTTTGAGCTTTATGAATTATAAAAAATAGTTATTAAAAGATGATGTTTTTCAGGCAATTTTTATAAACCCGTGTTAATTTAGTATTTTTTAAACTCGAACGTTTCTAGATAACTAAAAGCCCATTAATTTTTGTTTAATTTTAATTAATAATTACATGAATTTCGAGTTCGGTTTTGTCCATGCATTTATGCATAGCTATTATTAATAATCTCATCAGTCAATAATTTATAATTATAAATATCATCAAAATAAAGTTAGATCTCGAAATACATAAACTATTTCATTCAAGTTCATGATCCAATGACCGTTAGAGGCACAGAAAGTCCTACACAGTTAAAGTTGCCATCTCAAATTTGCAAAACCCCGGACTGAAACGGTAAAAAAACCCCAGACAAAACAATGACTCATCTCATCAAAAATCAGGACAGATCAGACTTAAAACTTTTTACTAAATATTTCAAAATTTATATAAATCTTTATTTTATTGAAAAATGAAAAGTTTTATTTAGAACAAATTGCAATTATTAAAATTAAATATTGATTCCCGGATAGCCCCCCCCCCTCCCTTCAGTCAAAAAAGAGGACTTGTCCTGGAAAACTCGAACGGATGGCAACCTTATACACAGTATACCTCAGCCAGGAAATAAATCATACAAATCATATGCAGATTCTTTGTCAATTTAAAATTTTCATTATTTATGTACAATGAACATTGATATGTCTTAACTCCTCAGACATTTAACTACAATAATTTTTTTTACACAATGTAACTTCATCCACTGAGCATACCTGAGAGCAAGTAAGATGCTTGAAAAAAAGCCCGAAGCGTCTAAAGAGTTAATGATGTTTCCGATGTAATTTTTATTTTTTCTACATTTAATTTCAAACGATAATGGAGCAGTGTTTGCAAAAGAGCTTGACATTTCGAAGACAGTTGAATAATAAATTAGAAAATGATGTTTTGACTTTTAGTTTACTGTGGTCATGTCAGCAGTGTCTTCCATCACTGTAAATAAAATATTATTATTATGCATAGACTTATTATTATGGACAACGTGAAATCAACAAACAAAATATCATGCTTCAAATGGAATAATGTAAAAACTAATTTGAGAATGAGATTATAGAACGAAAAAAAAATGTTATTACGCTTTATTAGAGATTATTCAGAAGAATGACATTTTATTACTTGATGAAGATTTTATAGATGTAATTAAATTAATTAAATTATATTTAGCATATACTTACTTCACATAATAATTATTCTTCATATGTTCACTGTTTATACGCACTAGCACTGCACGTGTCTCATTTATAATAGAGAACAGCACGTTGTACAGCCTCCACCAAGCTGACGAAAAAGCACGAGACATGTATATATATATATAGACAATGTGATAAAAAAAAATTGACAGTGTATTAGAGTATTAATTATGTGCAATAAAGTTGAAATTATCTTCCATTTCACTGCATAGTAAAATTCGTTGTAAAATTTTTTAAATTACCAATAAATTTTTTTTTATTTTCATTTTTTATAGCAATTTTAAAGTAATTTTTACTACATGTAATTCTCTTTGTATCACAATAATTGAACTATTATAACGTTTATGTTGATTGTGTCCTTTGTAAGGCATATGTGAAATTAATATGTATTGAAGGATGTCAAATTTCACCAAACTCGAGTGTACTTTCATGAAGTAATAGATATTACTTTACACAGAAGGAATAAAATTAACACTGAAACGATGCCATTTACACACCAAAGGTATATAAAAATTACTGATAACAGAAGTAATGTTTTTTAAAAAATTTTTCATGTTCCAGATTTGCTGAAAAGTAAAGAGAAATTTTTAGACGAAAATATTCTCTGAATACTTTCAACATTGTATTTAAAAAAAAAATCGTGCTATTGGCTTCCAAAAATAAGTCTTTTATAAATGACAGAAATCCTAATACTATTGTACTTCTTTTTCTAATAATTAAAGGTTTAAATTTCAGGTATGAATATTAAATTGCTAATTTACGCAAGAAAGAGTCCGAAATAATGAGGGATTAATTTAATAAAATAATGAAATAAATGAGTATAAACTAGGAAAAACTTACTCATCTAATTTGTAAAGAGTGTGGGAAGCCATCTGAACCACAGACATTCCTAATTCTTTGCAGAGGGTGATGATATTATGATCTCTAGCTCTTCCAAAGGGTTCTGGGTCTTCTTCGAAAGTAAGGTTGGTAGTTCCCCATTCTCGGAAAATTTTAGGCAACACATCAGCAGGCTGACCCCTTATTACAAACAATCTGGAGTTGAGTTTTCTCAAAGAAGCATCAAGGTCTTCCAGACAATGAAGAAGAAACCTGAAAAAATAAACAAGTGGAAACTTGGAGAAGTAAATAACAAAATAAATTTATATTTCCTCACCAAAGTTGCAACATCAGTTATATAATTTACAATTAAAAAAATATTAATCACTTGAATAGTAAAAGAAAATTGTTTTAAATACTACTTGTGAATCAAATAAATACAGATTTTAGCAGTTGAAGATTTGTAGAAGAAACGTGATGCAATAGTTATTGTTGCTATGTTATACTTTGGTATGTTGTTTGTTAAGAGACATTTTGTCAAGATATAAAAAGTAAGATAAACTCTTATAAGAGCTTTTGTATTATCATATATTTACAATATCTAAACAAATATGTAGTACTTTTTTTACATCACATTTGAGGATCAATGAAGTTGGAATGAATAATGTATAAATAGAATAATGATAAAATTCTTGGCCATTGCCTTATGGAGGTAGTTCAGCAATATAGTTTCTAGACTCATAGCTTGGCATTCTGTTTCAAGTTGGCATGAGTTCGAGTCTCAGTGCAATTACAAAAATTTGATGGGAAAAGACAAATGTAGGAAAGCAAAAATAATAAATAAAATAAATGAATCATCTTCCATACACTCTAATAGATAGTAATGGTGGCTTATCTCTGGTTCAACATTGGACTATGCTTAAGGATCTTAACCCAATGTTGGACTAACAATATGTCAATTTTACTTCTTACTAAAAGACACTGGAGAAAACTTGACCAAAACAAAAGTTAAATTAAAAATAGAATAGTGACGTAAAACTGTGATGGCAAATTTACAGAAACATCAAACCATCAACCAATGATTTTTACTTTCTCTACATCAATTGTGTCCAATTTAATCATTATTCTAGTGACATTTTACTTAATAATCAATCTTAACTAATTTGTACAATTAAAAATTAAAAGAAGACTTACATATATTATAGTTCAATTAATAACTCAAAGTGAATTCGAATCACTCATGTATGATAACACAAAATAACTTGAAAATAGATATTGATTAGCAAATAGATAACTTTATGATAGTAATAGAGTTAGCAATGAATAATGAAAATATTATATTATTGAAATTTTGCTCTACCAATATTGATAAGCCATTTTTCAAGCTCTGTTACCTCCACTTGTTGATGCCGACACTTTTGCTTCCAGCTGACCACGGATCAATGACAAACACGCATCGAAAGGTGGTGGCACCATTAAGACCAGCTCTGAGTGAGGGATTATCATGAAGTCGCAATCCTTTTCGGAACCAATGGACTGTATGTTTTTCTCGTGGTGCATTGGTGGCTGAAATGGTCGCACCATCATTCACACTACCGCAACTTGGCACACCCTGGCCACGATCATTGTGTCGGCTGCCAGTCATATCTTGGCCTTGGGCCGTTTTTTTAACCCTGACTCATCCTCACAGATTTATCTTATTTCTCTTTTGGTGATTCTATATCTTCTCATCTTGGACTAGACATTCACCTTCTGCCTATTTATCATTATTTATTAAAAGATACTCATTAAACACAAACATAAAAAACTAATGAATTTATTTTTAGTTGGCTTCAATTGGATAAATAATTTGCTATTTAAACAGATATTTTTTATTCGTGGATTTTTTAGTTAATTATTTGCTTCAATTTAAGTTGAATGAAGAGAATGGTTCGGTTATTTGAAATAAAACGCTTCAGGTGATAAATTTATGGTCAGCTTATAAAACTTAAATCGTTTTGATTAATTATTTAATAACATGAGTATGAAGATAATGACGTTAATCATGATCTAACTATTTCCCTTCACTAGTTCTTCTGTTTAATGCTGGGGGTAAATGCTAGGAGAAAGGACCTTTTTATTTATTTACCGGCTTGTCACGCGGGCTTCAACGTGCCAATATCATTGTTTGCGTTCCTCAAGATTTCTTTCTTTTTACTTTTACATTTTTATTTGAATATTCCGTTTAATAAATAAATATCATTATAGAAAAAAGAAAATATTAAATAATATTACTCATGAAATTGATTCACTTGAAAGTTGGTTTTTTATATTTCATAGTTTATTGTAATTAAATTTTACTGTAAATTAAAGCTCGTTAAATAATTTTAACATTTATTTTATTTATAAAGGTGAAATAGAAAAATAATAAGCAAACTACAGTATTGGCGATTTAATTAATATCATAAACTTCTCTGAAAAGTTTTTATCGAAAACTTTGTAAGAATGTAATATTTTGTTCTCATCGCTTTTCTTCCACCACAAGGATTATTGGAAAATTTTTTAAACGCTGATAGTACAATCACGATAGAAATTACTCAATAGGTTTCACTTCTAGCCATATACTTCGCTAAGTCAAAGTCATTTTTTGAAGTCACCATTTTTTTTTTTAAATCAAAATTAAGCTAGCTATTAAATGAATAGTTGGCAATAAAATGATAACAATAAATTTGCAATGGGTTTCTTAAAAACTGTCTTTTATCCAAATCACTCTGAAGTACAATTAATTGTAAACTGTCAGTCAATAACACAAATATTAACGAATCCTAACGAGTACGCGAGAAAAGAATGTGAAGTATAAAACCACATACTGTAGAGTAATAAATTATCCCAATATCGCACATAATATTGGTACTTCTGCTTTTGAAAACAACAGAATAAAAAACGACGTTTTTACTAACCTCTTTAACGTTATTAACCTCAATTCCTTTTTTCTTTTTTTTACTTTAATCTCTTTAATGCAATTATTTTTGATGTATTTTTTTATTAATTTTATTCAATCACAAAACTTCATTAACTTGTCACTATCCACACCAATGTCAAATTAAATTTGTAATCAATGATTTTTTAAATAATTAATGAATATAATTAATAAAAATTCCTTTGAAAACTATTTAACAGTGAGTTGAGACCACAATAGATTCAATGATAATTAAATAAATTTTATATTGTAAAAAATAAGAGGTAAAACACAGCGTAATTGAGAAAAGAGAATACACCTTTGACGGTGCGATGTTTACGATAGAGAATGAGGGTCGAAGAGGCAAGGGACCGTTGCGCGCTTTGCTGGATGACGAAGGAAAAGAGGAACGTAATAGTTAGCCACGCCGAATGCAACGTGACTTCAAACCCGAAGACCAATACGATTGGTCACGTTGATCACATGATAACCAAGTCACGTTGCAGTCGCCGTGGCTCGTTGCCTCATATATCCTTCATTTATCTAATGTCTGTCTTACTTGGGGCTTTATCTACTTTCGCCATACCGTCTGAGTTTTACGCACTCAATTCAGTCAAAGCCTGTTACCACCAGCATCTATCTCTAAAGGTCTTTTACTAGAGTATTTATTATTTATCCCACCAATTATTAATGTTACTTGCGAAATCCAACGATTTCACTTGACCCGATATTTTTTTTTTTATTCTAATGGTGAACTGAGGAAAAAATGTAATTATTTTCCTGAATATTCCCAGAAACATATTTTTTTAAAAATAAAATTCCATATTGATTTGGTTTAATTTTTTTTGTTTGAATAATTTTTTTTTATTTGTACTGTAAAAGAGCATTGAGAACTATGGGCTAATTATATAATTAATTTATAATTACTCATAGCTTAATTAATTCGCTCTTTCATTAATCTAATCATATAAATTTTTTAAATAACTTTATTTTTTAATGTTATTAGAAATAAAACTAAATGCAACTTACAAATGATCTAGTAAAAGTATTTTTTAGAAAAGCTTTCAAAAACAAAAATTGTTGACACCTAATTTATAAACATGCACCAAATTTTAGTCTGTTTGGATAGGAGCTGGTTCAAAATTGATTTGCAAAATTCCAAGTAGATAAAGTAAACTGAAAAAAAGCTTCCATTGACGTTAAGTTTATCTAATTGAATAATTTTCTCTATAATAAAAATTAATTAGAATATTTATCGTTAACATTAAAATATAAATTAGTTGGTTCAAAGTTTATGTTTAAAAAAAAACTTTTTGGTCATAAGCATGAATAACTAGTATAGATATTCGAAAGCTATTATCGATATAATAATTCATGATAACTGAATGAATATTTTTTGAAACTTATTTTCTGAAAATAGTTATACAAAGACCTTTGATTAATAAAATAAAAAATATTTTAATTATAACATATATTAAATGGAACATTATTTTGTAAAAATTATGACCAAATTTTTTTTAATTCAACCAAGTATTCATGTGTTTATTCAACAACATGCAATTTTCAGAAACAAATAATTGTTCAATGCACTTTTTAAACCTCCATAATACACATGTTCCAATAAACAATAAACATTCCAATCTAAAAAATGGTTGTAAAGTTTAGTGATCCGCTAGCAAGCTTTTAATTACTCTTTATGCTCAAACAGTTCTAAAACATGGATTGTTGGTAAATAAAAAAAATCCTATTGTTTTTATTTTAATAGAAAAATAATGATGGAATAAATTTGCATAAGTCAATAAAGATAGTTATTTTCCTACACTCATAACTCTGAAAGGTTTTTTATTAATCATAGTAATTACTTATTAGCAGAGTCTTACTACCAAGAGCTCTACAAATAATCATATGTAGTTCGTGGATACAATGAAACGTCTTGTAAAACTCGATAACGGGATTTATTTGTACATTACAATGACGTAATAACACCGTCATACCGTTACGACATCCCAATGCCCCGTCTCCGCCAGACTAAATAATCGTGCAGTACACGAACCCACCGTGTTAGCACAGTTGCACACTATGTTTTTAATTTGCTCGGTAATATTAAATAAACTAACAATTTAATTGAACATAAATGAATGTCATACAATTATGTGTAAGAAATAACAAAGTGAAGTCAAGTCATTATTTAACTTATAAACTTACTAAATTAATTATTATAAAGATGGACAATGAATAAGAGAAAGAAAAGTTCAATTTTGTAATAGTATTAATTACTAGACATTATTTCGCTTTTATTTACATTCATTAATCCCTAGGAATGAAAAAGAAAGAAAATTATTTGTAAAAACAAAAATTTATTTGACAATAAACGTTATTTATTGTAATTATATAATTTTTTTTGTCATTATTTTATTCAGTACATGTTCGAGTATCGACGAGTTCAATGAATGATTTGCTTTTTTATTTTTGTTTTTCGTCAATTTTTAATTATTTTTTTATTTCTCAGTGTTTTATCATATATACGTACATATATATGATGAATGTATAAAATTGTTCCTTACTAAAAATCACAAGTCAAGCACACACAAAATATTCTCAAATCATTCAAATTTTTCTATTTTATTCAAAGTTTGAGATTATAATTATTGTTGTTATTATGTTCATTTCAATGTACCTTAATTTTATTTTTTTATGAACTATCATATATCACTCACTAACACATACTTGACATATTTACCTAGCACAGAGAATGGCTAATTTTAATTTTTATCCGCAGAATTGAAATTTTATTTCATTACAACTATTTATTGATTTTTTAAGTTTTTTCGTATTTTTTTTTATAACTCGCTATTTTACATGGCTGCATGATGCTGTAATTAGTACGATGCACAGATAAATTTTTTTTATTTTCAACTTACTTATTACATAGTGTCTAAATTTTTTAAAAATTAAATATCCATTATCTGAATTTTCAGCATAATATTCCCATGGTAAAATAATATATTAACAAAAAATTAGTTTTATAAAAATATTTAAACAAAGTAAATATATAAAACATTACATAAATAGCTTACAAACATCACAATAATTACCTTAATGAATATTGTCAATCAATCTCAATATTTAATTATTTTAAATAGTTAGTACAATAAATATTTATAAGTGTGACTTTAGCTCAAATTTGCTCCAAAAATTTCTTTTTACCTATCGGGTACCATTTTTAAATATGCATTTTAAATTATGAGATTTTTTTTTTAATATTTGTAATGCACACATCTATACAAAAAATGGCTCCAAATATGTAAAAAAAATGATTGAAACAAAATCTAGAAAGAGTCTTACTTGTAAATAGTTACCTTTAGTATAAATCATAAAAATACTATCTTTAATTTACTTTACTTCCAAAAATAACAAAGAAAAAACACTTGACTTATTTGAATAGTATCTATCGAATATTTAAAGTGAAAAAATAATTAGTCATAACATTATATACCATAATAATAGTACTTTAATATCAATATGAATCAATGAATGTTTTTTATCAATATGAACAAACAAATACTATGTACAAAAAATGCAATTTTTTTATTTTATTGAATTTTAGTTTTGATAATCTATCCAACTATTATTTATTTATTTATTTAAAATATATATATATATATATATATATATATATATATATATATATATATATATATTATTTGCCCACGAGAAATAATTATTCATTATTAGAACTTTCAGCTATTTTCTTACAAACTAAACATTACTTATTGATTTTTTATTTAAGTAAACTTGATTTTCAATCATTCTATCACACAATGAATCCTCGTTTTTGTTACGGTTTATCAATGACACTTATAAATGTATATCTATTTATATATAACTCATTCAATCACTCTTTCGATATCCATTATTTACTCCATTCACTCTACGACTTTTGTTCTTCCATTTTTTTTAGTAAATAATTTAATAATATTTCACAGTGTAAAAAGAAAATATACCAAATGTTGGATTAAAAAAGTCCTTTAACCTTAAATACTGGATAATAATTTCAGTAATGGCAGGAAGCGTAAAATTTTTTATGTATGATTATTTTTAATCTTTTCTATTTCAGTTAAATCAATTTGAACCTTGTAAAATAATTAGTCGTTGTGTGCAATTTTCCAGTTATAAATAAACTAACTTACAAATAATTATAAAAAAATATATTTATGAATTGGTGAATCTTTTTTGCTTTTATGTTCATTTTTCATTCTCAATTGCACCTTCTCCTTTGTTACTTTCACTTTCTTTCCCTTTTCTCCCTGTGATTCATCCATTGCAGTTCAATTTTGTTATTTTTTTCATGATTTTTTAATAACTGCATTCTTTATCGTGTTTCAAATACTTAATGCTACTATTAAATTTACATCATTAACTAATTTTCACTTGTTACACTTTTATTAATATATTTTTAAATTTTTTATTTTATTGTAAAAATAATTAATGTCATATTGCGAGCGTAGATAATAAATATTCCAAACTATCTGCAGAGTGTAGTTTAATTAAAAAAATGAAAAATATATTCCATCGTGGCTTTTCTTAAATTAAACCGTCATTTATTATTTGACTTTTTCAATATCCCAAGAAGCATATACCTAGGATAAACATACCAGTAGATGGACAGTTAAGACTAAAAGATGAATAAAAAATAAGAAATTACTACACGTAGAGAATCAATTTACATTAAAAAAAAGTTTAGTATTATTTTAATTAATTAGATCTCAACTTACAGAATGAAAAATATTTTTTAAAAATTCAAGTTTTTACTTTTTGACAATTTTAGTTATTTGACCTGCTTCTGGGCAGTGTCCATCCATTAACCTGTTTACCCTAATACGATATAACATTAAAAGAATATAAATCTATAAAGATTTGAAAGACAATTTGAATGAAAGTGTTTTCTACAAATCATTGATATTGAAATATTTAATAACAATCATCTTGACGATGACTTGGTTGATTATTTATGATTAATATGGCAGCAAACCAATATGGTTAAATTGCTTCGTAATCTGAAACACTAAACTCTGTATCAACGAAAAGCTTTGAAATGCTAGCAAAGACAAACGCCAGAGTTGAAGATAAATTTACATTGAAAACTGTAAGTGAGCAAAAAGGAATAATATTTAAAATTCTAACACTGTATTAATTAACAACGTTTAAGAAACAATAAAAAAATGACAGTAATGAAGAAAAATTACTTTATGTATCGATACGGTAGTATATTTTGTAACTTCTTAATTTTTAATATGTTGATTTTTGTGTTTGAGAATGAATTCTCATATGATGAAAATGAATGAATAGAATTCGGAAGTTTGTGTTCTACAAAAAATAATTCTTGAAGTCAAAGTTAAACAAAAGAAATATTTATATTGATTGAATAATGTATTAATGAAGTATGAACTTATTTCCTAAGTTTTTTTTGTGACAGATATATATATATAGATTTCTGCAGAATATAAATATATATATTTGTTGCAGAAAATATTGAATTGAATTTTAATCTGTTGCATAAGCAAGATCATTATTCAAATGATGATGTGTAAAATTTAGAATTCATTACATAATAAAGAGCAGTTAATTACTGATACTCAATCTATCCAATCCTTTCCATCTCTTGATATTTAATTAATATCAAAATTATATGTGATTGCTACGACTACTTAACGATTTAAAATCTACTATTATCTATTTATCATAAATGAAGATTAGTGAAGAATAATGAATCAAAAATATTTTTTATAAAAGCTCAAACTTCCGGTATTTATATTTGTATGCACATTTTTTTTAAAATCCTAAATATTATCATCATCAGTTCATATTTTATGCGGTCCTCCACACACTAAACAGGTACGCAGCGTTTTGTCTCATACAACTATGTTTATTATTTTATTGTTTTATTATTGAAACTATTTATTTCAATATTTAATATTAAAAAAAGTTTTTTCCATCTTTTTCAACTATTTTTATTTCGCTGAAGTAAAAATGATTGCGAATGCATTATATAATTTTTACATCTTTCGTATCCTACCTATTTTCAATTGTTTCCTCTTTTCAATATAAAACGTTTATTCATTTTCTCAAGATTTATGAATTCCGTAGTTAACGGTATAATTTTAGCAAGCTTTGCTAGAAAAGTCAACATCTTGTCATTGTCAACAATTCTAAATTGTTTTTCCTTCATAAATTTTTTTTTGATGCAGTTCAATTGTACCGCCTACGACGTGATTTAACAATTCCTTTCGAAGCAATTACTTTTTTCGCAGATATTTTTCCGTTAACATTTGACTTTTCAACACTCACCGTAACTGCACTGCGCTCGAGAGCTCTTCTAGATCCTCTTGTTCGTCCAGATATTCTCTCCATTTCATTAAACTCAGCCTGAAGCCTCTGAGCAAGCTCGTAGTCCTGTTTTTCTTGCAAAAGTATCCTTTCCATACGTTCTTGCTCTTGTACTACACGTTCATCATGATCTCTATCAAAATTTTCATCTTCTTTTTCATCAACTCTTGTCGATTTCATCGAATTTCTCGTTAATCTCGTGCTTTTTTTGTTTGAATCTGCCTTCTTATCAATTGATAAATCCACTTTTTCAACAGAATCATTTTGTGATTGAATTTTTTGGCGTTTGATGCTTAATGAAGGATCCAAAACCTTTTTTCTCTTTGACTTGTTCAATTTTTTCTCTTCAGTATCATCGATACAACCTGCGGCATTTTTTTTATCCGTAATCCTACTTCTCATTGGTTTTTCAATCGTTCTGACCTTTTCGTTTGTCAAATGGTTTTTTTTATTAACATCAGAAGTCAATTTTCTTCGTTTTATTCTTTCAGCAATATTTTCAATAGCACCCAGGCCATCATTATTACTATCATCGTTTTCTTTTCTCTGCCGTTCTGACAGCTCTTTCGAACACATTGCGACAGAATTCATTGTAGTTGTAGGGAAATTCATAAAAGTTTCCTTACTATCAGCTGTTTCTTTGATACTATTTTTCTTTCTACTTTTACAACTTTTGCTACTACTCAATGCACCATTTTTCACTTGAGCTTGTGACTTATTTAACTTGCTAGCTTCCGTTTCATCATTAGATATCGTTTTTCTATTTGTTTTAGTACCATTTACCAATCGATTTATATTTTCTGCATAGTTCTTATTCGTGTCACATAGTGAATCTGTTGCAATATCGACTTTTTTCGATGTGTCAGATGTTACGAGAAAATTTTCGGACGATTTGGAGACTGGATTACAATTTGAGAGTTTTGATTCTTGCTGTGCTTTGCCAATAACAATGAATTCTGTAAAAATCATTTACATTAATATTTTTATTAACTTTTGGAGCTATAATTTTATAAGAAATAAATTAATCATTTTTTTAAAAGCTAGTCAAATAACACAGCAATTATGTCGAATATCTTTTATCGATTATGATAATTAGAACAAAATAAATATTAGATGAAGTTTGCCTTATAAATGAAAATATAAAAGAGTTTCTAGATATTTTTTGGCTAAAATAAATTACGTATGCATTAGTAAATGATTCGTAATAGTTGATAAAATAAATGCTCCCTTCTTATTGATCGATTAATTAATTAATTAAGTTTTTTTTCGAATTACGTAGCAAGAAGAGAATAGTAAATAATACATTTTTAATTGGCAAATTGAAAAATATTTGACATAATTATTTACTCTAATATCAATTGAGATATTTAGGATAAATAAAGTAAAAAATTCACCTCTAAATGCACTCCAAGAACATCTAGTGATCCTCTTCATACTTGCAGAGGCTGGGGCCTTCAAAACCGGATTTAGAATTTTTTTTAATACCGGCATTACTCGAATAACCATCATATCAATTTGTCTTCCATCCTGAGAAACTTTTAATGGCGTTCTAGGCAACGCTTTAATCGGTTTAAAATGATGAATTTCAGGATTGATACTGTCATGACTTCCAGCGCTTTGAGGACTCTCAATCCTTTTATCGTCATTACTATTTATCACTGGAATAACTTCAATATTCTTTTTACTTGTCAATGCATCAGAGGGTATTCGGAGCTCATCTTCACTTCTTTGACCATAAATTTTCATCGAATTTGAACAACTCGGTCCAAAATTTAAGTTAAAAGCACCAATAAAACCTGTCTGCATTATAAGTGCTTGATTTTTGACAGACATATAGTCTTGGAGGGATGCAGAATGATCACAACATGATTTGGCATCTTGTGGTCGACTTAAAATCAACGGTTTGACGCCTCCAGCAACTCTTTCTGCTTGAATCTTGGAGATAATACTCAGGTTTGGTTTTCTGAGGTCGGTAGATTTCTTTTCTTTAAAATAAACTATATTTTCATGGTTTAGATTTGATACTTCAGTCTTAGGTTCAATAGTAGTGGCTGGCAATCGGTCATTCGATGCTAAAATTTTCGATTCTTTTGATGGAGAACTTCTTAAATAATCGTTGTAATACTTAATCGTTTTTTCCTTGTCTATTAGTTTCTTCTTCGCCAAGCTCCTTGCTAATAATTGATCCTGCGCAAGTTGCGCCAACTTTTGCTTCTGTTGAATGTTCTCTTGATGCTGTATTTTACGAATAATTTCTTCATTTGCTATTCTTTCATTTTCTCTTTGTTTTCTCATTTCTTCTGATGCTTTTTGCAGTTGAAATTGGTATTCACGTTGAATATCTCCAGGGTTATTCAATAATTTAGGAACATATTCTACGAAAGAAATATATTATATGATTGTTTTGTTTACAAAATGTAATAAAATGATACTGACATTCTACGAGGTTAAATGATTGTTTATTATTCAAATTAGTGACTCACCATCTTGGTTACGAATCTCTGGCACATCGTCAATAGCTTTACCTTCTATTTCTTTTGGAAATTTCGACCTTATATGCTCCCAAAGGTCATTATTTACCAGTGATTCAGATTTAGATGCTGTTCTTAACCAAGAACCAACTCTTACTCGACATAAAGGACAACTTAGGCTATTATGTTCAAATGTACCTTTCAAACATTTTAAACATAGGTTATGCGTACATGGTAGCGTCACTGGTTCTATTAATATTCCACGACACACTGGACATATTAAATCCCGTAAGTTCATCTCACTTGATGACTGTGGCAAGGTGAGATCAAATAATTTTGACGTTCTCTTTAAATACGTCGCCATTTTATACACTTCTCTCTACGTCAAGCCATTGTCGACGACTGTTTTTAATTTTTGACTTTTTCGTAATAATCACTCTTCGGAAACGTGGAACTTTTTGGACTGCTTAGACAAGGAATGTTGAAATCAAAACCAGAAAGACGGCTGTTCAGCAAAATACATTATTTCACTCGGTCGGTAATAAAATTATTTTTTTTATCGGTAATAAAATAAAAGTTGCTGACATTGATTACTGTTCATAACTTTGAAATGTGATGTTATCGATTACTATTATAATAATAAATAATTATAATTTATTTGATTTTCAAACGCACTTTATATAAAAATCAATTTCATTCAAATAGAACTATTAGATGAACATTAATAAGTGAAAGATGTATTGGTATTTTTTTGTCTTTCATTTGAGTTGGTTATATCTTATCACCATCAGATTGATCATAAGTTTTTTTAAAAAAAAGATTTAGAAGATAAGTTTATAAAGTGTCTAATCAAGTGTATGAAATAAATGAAAATAAATTAATAAATAAAAAAAGGTGGTGTTAAACTTAGATATATGATGACTTGTATAATTTTCTTGAAATAAAAAAAAATATACATATATATTTTGGCCTTCTTATAATCTTCAAAAAATATTGTACCCAGGAAAAAATAAAATATATCTACATTGATCAACTGAGATCTATTTTTTGGCACAATTAGATCTACTTTGTTCTGTGTACATCTGTTTCGATCACTTTAGATCTTCTATGATCTCTGTAGATGTATTACATGTTTCTTATCATCGAGATCAATGGAGATCTCTATAGCCATACAGTAATTTGTGTAGATATACAGTGATCTCACAAGATATACGTAGATTTACTTAGATCAAATTTTCTTCAGTTTTTTAGATATAAGTAGATCAAATTAGATCTAAAAAATGGCGAAAATGTAGATTTGTGTGGATCTATTTTATTTTTTCCCGGGTACAGCTATAGTGATGTAGAATGTAGTGTGGAAGCAGTACTTTTGAACAGCGCGCAAGCAAAGGGGAGAAAGCTAGAGCTTAAATAAGCGAGAGAAAGAGAGAAAAAGACACAACTTTATACGAGCCCGCGAGTGCCAACCAGTATGATTTGTGCGACGAAACTGTGAGCATCACCAATTACAATATCGGTTCATCTTTAAATCGTCTTCACATTTACCTCGAGAATTTTGAATGAAAATATCATTATGAAAATTTAACCTTTTAATTTTTTATTTAAAAAATCTCGACAAAGTGATCAGTGTTGTAAAAATGAATATTAACAAGTTATTTATAGTGTAAAATTAGTGAATAAAAAATATTTCCAGTGTTAAATTGTTTGAAAAATCATCACTAATTCTGGTAAATATTTAAATAAATAATTGTTACAAAAAATATTTCATCAATAGTTGTAGAATTTTAGTGATAGAAATAAATCTGAAGATAAGTTTTAATGCATGTGTCAGTCTTTTAATTATTTTTTTTAATGCTTGAAAAATTATTTAATTTAATTTAATTAATAATTATATTGGATAAATATTTAACTAATTAATTGTTTGTAAAATTTCTTATAACAAAAATTTAAATAAGTTATTAAAAAATTTTCTAAACATGTCAAACAAATTCCCAAGTTCTTTGATGCGCTAGTTTTGACATATGCATCAACTCAAGTCTGATGGACAGCCTTTCAAGTTCAGGGATGAGATAAACGAGCGTCAGGGTCGTCTATCTTTTTGCAACTTCCGGTTTCCTTTCTTGATTTCTGCTACTTCCGTATACTTTTCGCACTACATTTAAGCATCATAAATATCAGAATTTCAAATATATATTTTTATCTTTGAAATGGTGAAAATGTTTTCTAAGTAATAGACTAAAAAAACAACACTTTTTATGTTCTATAGATCTTTTCTAAAATATGTTCTGAAATAAAATGTAAAATTTATATTATTAAAATATAAATAAAATATTTCTGTGACTTATAGTTGGCTTTTTGAGCTTGATAGGAAACTTTTGAAATTTATTAAAAACGAAATGTAAATATTTTAGCATTAGATACATTTTATTGTAACCCAATACTATGATGGGTTTCATAAATATCACTTTATTATTTTCGATGTAAATATTTACAGTTTTTTTAATTGAATCATAACGAGAAATTTTTCTTCTTCAAATCAGCGATGATCAGCAAAGAAAAGCGTTCAATTATAGAATAGTATGAGTCTATTCAATATTTACTTATTTATTGAAGAACAGTTTTTACCAATAACAGAATCACTTAATGATATCGATAGTAGAAAAATAAATAATAATTACATTACAGTTACGCCTTGTTAAAAAAGGGAAATTTAAATATTCAAGAATAAAAATAATGAGAGTTTTTAATGGAGAAAAGTAATTCTATCTTTGAAAAATAAGATACCATTTTTTGATATTCACCCGATATTATTAAGAGCATAATGAGTGTATAATAATATTGTTGCAAAAATAATAACTAAGTTTATGCTTGATGTGATGAGAAGTTTAACGTATGGATTGATATAAACTTAGTAGAAGTTTCAAGTAAATTTATTTAATTAATCGGAATAAGTAGAAAATTAGTGTAAAGTTTTTGAAAATAGTTGTATGCATCTATCATAATCCTCCAAGTCTATCTAGGAATTTATTTTGATGTTTTTTAAAGTTATTATGAGAATAAACTTTGAATTGGCTTACTAAAACTCAGAATTGTTAAAATTAAAAGATAGACAACAATAAGAAATTATTTTGTAGGTCGTTAAATTTGGTATCCAGTTATTTAAAAGTTCAATTTAATGATTGTTAAACTTAAAAAAATTTCTGAACACAGCAATAAGATATAACTTAAGTGAAGACTGTAATTAATATTAATACCGAAGTATTTGCACCTGACTTGTTTAATTCAATGATAAAAGGTAAAGCGTAATGATAACAGAGTTGTATTATTTTACACCTTGATTCACTGAATGTGAATATTTTTTTCTATATATTGATATTAAAGAGTTTAGCATTTTTCTAATTAATCAGATCTTAACGATTACAAAAAATTACATTCAAATATTTATTTTTCAATCATTTAAACAATTTACCCATCTTCTGGATAGTATTTAGCTACTGGTCAGTTTATCCTCGATGCATATCATTGAATTTTATTGCTACATTACACTTTTTATTCAGGCAAATAATTCTCATGTGAGAATTAAAATATTACAAAAAGATTTAACTTTTTTTCTTTATATACAAACTAATAAAATTCAAAAGTAAAAAAGCCATTATTTCAATATCAAATATCAACTATCAAACAATCATCGAATTCTCATTAAATCAATTTATTTCTTTACACAAATAAAAAAAATATTCTTTTCTTAAAGTATCCTTCAATGACGAGGTATAAAGTACAACGTCTTTTTTTTAAGGGGTGTTACGAGAATTGGAATCGTCCGTGAGGTCGAATCTCATATTTTATCAGTCTGAGACTGAGCATCTTAGATTTCCCAATTTGTCAGTCTCTAATTGGAAGTCGAGATCTCACCACTTTTTTCAGCCAAACCCTGAATTGTTTAGTTTTCTTATTTATTTCTCAACTTTGTTTCTGACCTATGTTATATCTTTTCAAGATATTTCTCTTTTTTCCATCATTTTTTCTATAAAAAAATCAAAGGTCTTAGTTGTAAGTCAAAAAAAAAAAGAAAAAAAACAATACAAGAACATTATATGTCTACATATGAAGTAAAGTATTTGTTCTCTTAAATGATTCATTTTAATTAGCACCAGAAGTTGGACAATTTTAATTTGATTTGCATGAATATATGAAAAGATTGAAACTGGAAATGACTGCGGATACATCAAAAAAGGTTTGTTTGAGAGCGGATACTTTAGATAACTTTGTCACTAAAATTTAATGTAACAACCGAATCGTTTGTTTGAATTATATCTTCACCTTATCTCTTTCGATACTGCCAATATTGACAAGATCCAAGTTCTGCGAAGGGTCGACTGTAAACACAATATATTGCTCAAGCATCTAAATGGTATTATGTTAAAACGTGTTTGAAAGTCATTTTAATTAACTGCTATTTTGTTGCTATCATGATATAGAATTAAATTCTAAGAAATGTATTTTTCTATTACAAACTTTTTGAAGAAGTGTGTACACATTGAAAAAATCAAAATAGTTAAATCATCTATGTCATGTCAATGGTTTATTAGATACCTTATATTTGAGTTTTTTTTACTATGAAAGAACTTAACGATGAAATGTTATATGGAAATGATGAATTTTATTTTGCACTGAAAAAATAATATTATTGTAGGAGTAATTCAAAGTATAACTGAAGTAGATTGCTGTCACAACAATCCTTATGCCTACTCTATATAACTATTTGGAAAGCTATTATAACTATCTAGATGGCTGCCACAAGTATCTTAACCGTATGAGCAAATGACATATTGTTCTACTAGTAATATCATTTATTATTAGAAGTGGTGATTATATAGTATCGATCCGTCACTTTCGATTCCTTTGAAAATTAAGTATGTTATAGAGATGATCTTTCTGATTATGAGTATAAATATAAATACATGTTGGACGCGGAAACCATTTTTAAGATAGTTTTTTTATGTTAAAGTTTTGAAAATCATGATTTCATTTTTAACTCAATTTCATAGGAACATGAGTTGTTTTAGCGGTGATTAATGGAATTTATTATATGAAGGACATTTGCACTATGGAACAAATAGTACGTGAATAAATAAAGATAGGAGCAATGAGGTGGGAGTGAGGGGAAGGGAGGATGTTGATAATTTAGAGCAATATTAGCAAAAGAAAAAAAACAAAGTTCTCTACAAAGTTTCTTTGCTTTTATTTTTGATTTATTCTTTCATCAATGGACTAAATTATAAACACTATCCTACTCATCACTCCCTTTATTAAATGTATCCCATCAGAATGGATGATTGTTAAAATAATAAATTAAATTATTTAATATAAAGAAACTATTTCTTGAGTAATCTTGATCAGCATCATCAAGAATACAAAATACTTCATTTTTAAAGGAATCGAAAGTGAC